GCAGTGGCCAGATCTCAGCTTACTGCAAGCTCCATCTCCCGGGTTCACCCCATTCTCCTGCCTCAGCCTCCCGAGTAGCTGGGACTACAGGTGCCCGCCACCTCGCCCGGCTAGTATTTTGTATTTTTTCAGTAGAGATGGGGTTTCACTGTGTTAGCCAGGATGGTCTCGATATCCTGACCTCGTGATCTGCCCATCTCGGCCTCCCAAAATGCTGGGATTATAGGCTTGAGCCACCATGCCCGGCCCAGCTCATTCTTTATATCCAGAGAACTGTCTCCTTAACATCTCCATCATCATCCCTTGGTCCAAGCCACCATCATTTCTCAGTTGGGTTGATTCAATGGCCTCTTACCTGTGCTCTTGGCCCCTGACAGTGTATATTCCACCCAGCAACCTCAGGAATTTTTTCAAAAGTTTAACTAGGTCCTGACACTCTACTGCTTGAAACCCATCAATGCTTCTAATCTCACTTGGTAAAAGCCTAAACTCTTGAGTAGTGTACAAGACCAAATATAAATTGTCCCTACTACCCTGTATGATCTTACTTTCTACTACTCCCCCTGTCCCCTCATCTGCCAATTTCAGCCACAGAGCCTTTGCACTGGCTGTTTATTCTGCCTATGATACTCTTTACACAGATATTGGCAGTATTTGCTCCTTTGCCTCTTTAATGACTTTACACAAATGTCATGTTCTCAACAAGGCCTTCAGTGACGGAGACAGCTATCCATCCTCCAAAGAATCATGCTCTTCTTCCATTGGATACAGCTGTAGTTGTCTAGCCAGAGACTACATTATCTAGCCCCCATGCCATCGGGCAGTCACATGATGTCACATTACTGAGTAATGGTCAGTGGAATCTGGGTGGGTGTGATATACGCCGCTTCTGGCCTAGACCATCATACTTTAATCTCCCCTCTTACCCCATCTTAATCTGTTTCAATTTGTTATTTTGGTTGACCACATAAAGAAAATCCAGCCTAACACACGGGGGCGGCTGAAAAAGAGAAGACGAGTCTTTTCAGAAAATGTGGATAGGCCAGAAATACTAGTTTTTTATAGTGTACAATCTGAAACAGCATCAGTGAATTTTTCATGCTCTATTATACTAAAATCCACTGGTCTATCTTGCACTTTTTTTTTTTTTT